TTCTGTTAATTAAATACCTGACATCCTCACTGCTCTTCGTCCCTCAAGATTTTATAGTTTTGTGATTACCACAGATCTGGATGATGTTACTCGATTTTGTTTTATCTTGCTGAATACCATCAATCTTTAGGCCTCAGAGCATGTTCTACAAGGTACAATGGCTCAAATCTTCTGAGTTTTATTCCAAATTCTTCCATTGACTATTGGGGTGATCTTCAACAAATCACTTAACCTTGCTGTTTTGCAGTTTTATCTATTTTTAAAGTGGGTATAATATTTATCTATAATGGTTGCCACTAACACTCAGCATATGCAAAGAATTACCATACAGTGGTAAATGAGACACAACAGATTTTATCTGTACTTAGGAAATTAACTGGAGTAACTTTATGCTACACTTATATATTGCATTTGATGTGAGAGTAAGTGTTAAGTCTCCTGAAAATATGCAAGGCCCCAAGGCTTGATATACATTAGCCTCTTTATCTAGGTCTTATTTCTCAAGGTTCTGGAGGCTGCTCATTTTTCTCACTTAATCGCGGGCAAAAATGGCCATCTGGTTTGTCTTGCAAAATGAGAGCCTTGCGGAAGGTAAATTCAGATGCATATTCGGGTACTGTATAGGTTTAATTCTTTTCATAATTAGAACCACAACAACTAAGCTTATGTACTTACCCAGCTCTCACACTACACTCTCCTGCCCACAGTGCTATGGCTGTCAGGCACCGTAAGGGTGGCCTTTAAGGGAGACACTTATCTCATTAGCTCTTTAGTTTATCATAAAAAAAAAAAACAGTCACCGTTACAGTTCTGCAGACCTGCTTTCATGGTTGTCACCTTACTGTGGTCATATGCATGTTGAGCTTTGTATCCTTTTATGTACAATAGCGTGAAAGAAGCTCAGCTATTCAGAGAAGCTATGATTTGAAGGCATTTTCCCCATCAATAGACTTTCTGAATGTCTGGCGGCTTTATGGAAGCTTTTCATCCATTCAGAACTTGTTTGTTTTCTTTCCCTTCTGATGTGATTTAATGACTTTGAATGGTTGGCAGGATGCAAATGTCTTCCTGGTTCTTCCTATTCTCTGGTACTGTTAAAATAAGTCCAGAGTTCCTCCAACAGCAGTTTTATAATAGAACACCAGCATGTCACAGATACTATTATCCATAATAATATGCACTCATTTTCCACACATATACTAAGTCAAAAGTTACCATTAGATGCTATAGTATTGGTGCTCTAGTGTTTGTTAAAATGTGATAACAGACTTCAGTGGGAATTGCACATCTATACCTCAGAGCAGAATTTGGCCCACATACTTTGGACTGTAACCCTTAGAATTCTATATATGAAAATCATCTCTGTATTCTCTTTTTTTAGTATTCCAGTCCAGTACTGTAAGATTTCTCTTGATGGAGCAGCAGTTATACGTAGAGGAGATTAAATCAATATAAAAATCAGCCTGAATTTTCACCCATCCTCTGAAATGAACACTAACTTTGACTAACAGATTAGATTTCTTTTCTTTTAGTGACCCCTCCATAGTTCATCCAAACTATCCTTCTATTGCTTTGGGATGTGGTGGCAGGATTGCTGGGCTCCAATACCGATTGTTTCAAATTTAGCATTGCTTTCAAGCTTCCCTTGAGTTCTATCCCATAGTGAATGGTGTCCCCCTAGGAACTTCTGATTACATAAAACGCTTTCCCTCTCCCTCAGGCTTAATATCTCACATAGAAAGGAGTGAGGTTCCAAAAGCACTTTATTTATTCTAGTTCATTTATTCTATGGTAAAACAGGGTGGCCCCAAATTTAAAAGCAGAGAAACACTGATGCCTGCCAAATAGTTACAGAGAATGACCAAGATAAAGAGAGTCGGTTGCTATTTGGGGATTCTGAGGGAAGAAGCTCTCAAAAGGTTCAAAAGTTTATGTAAAATGTAAACAAGCACCTTACGAACGGTTAATGTTAGCCCCTCACTAATCATGATTGGAGAATAGAAGAAGTGGATGTAACTTCCTGCTTCCCATTACATTTCCTTGGAAATAATCTTTCTACTTTACAACTGATGAGTACAATTTTTTGTTCCTTGACATATTTTACAGTGCTGTCCTTGAATTGCACAGGTTTGGTGAGAAGCGTCTTGCTTCCACTGAATATGATATACAGCACTGTGAAATGGGTGGCTTGATTTATTCCCTTTAGATAAATCCTATTTCATTTTACTAAACTAGACATATTTGTACACTCTTTTCTGTTAGAGTGAATGAGAGTTGATTCGCTTTATCAATTTTCAGGTGCCACTGAATAGGCATTAGGGGATCGTTAGACCCTCAGGGAAACACTAATTTTCTAGCTGCTTCTATATCTACTCATCATGGGTGACACTGTGTTCTGATACTTCACAGAATTACTACTTCAGAAACAGATACAGGTGGAGATTTTCAAAGGCACAAATCGCAGTTACATGCCTAACTCCCACTGACTTTCAAACCTTCAAATCCTTTGTAATCCTCCCACATGTTGATTTACTGACTCTGACAGGCATGCTGTCCAATATGTGAGAGAAATAAAATATATTTAAAGTTTACCAAACATGCCAGACAGTGACAGACTGCAATTTACCAGGATTCTAACAATGTTATGAATTAGCCAGGAACTGTGGGAGATGGCTGTCAAAGAGAGGGAAAAAGAGGAGGAAGCAAGAATTAATTGAGAGTAAAGAAGTTATAGTTAGAGCTGTCAAGCAATTAAAAAAATTAATCACAATAATATCTGTTAATATTTAAATATTTTTGGATGTTTTCCACATTTTCAAATATATTGATTTCAATTAGAACACAGAATACAAAGTATACAGTGATCACTATATTTATTTTTGATTTACAAATATTTGCACTGTAAAAAAATAAAAGAAATAGTATTTTTCAATTCACCTAACACAAGTACTGTAGTGCAATCTCCTTATCATGAAAGTTGAACTTACAAATGGAGAATTATGTACAGAAAATAACTGCATTCAAAAATAAAACAATGTAAAACTTTATTAGAGCCTACAAGTCTACTCAGTCCTACTTCTTGTTCAGCCAATCAAATTTGTTTACATTTGCAGGAGATAATACTGCCCGCTTCTTGTTTACAATGTCACCTGAAAGTGAGAACAGGCATTCGCATGGCATGGTTGTAGCCGGCATTGCAAGACATTTACATGCCAGATGCACTTAAGATTCACATGTCCCTTCATGCTTCAACCACCCTTCCAGAGGACATACGTCCATGCTGATTACGGGTTCTGCTCAATGACAATCGAAAGCAATGCGGACCAATGCATGTTCATTTTCATTATCTGAGTCAGATGCCACCAGCAGAAGATTGATTTTCTTTTTTGGTGGTTAGGGTTCTGTAGTTTCTGCATTGGAGTGTTGCTCTTTTAAGACTACTGAAAGCATGCTCCACACCTCGTCCCTCTCAGATTTTGGAAGGCATTTCAGATTCTTAAACCTTGGGTCGAATACTGTAGCTATCTTTAGAAATCTCACATTGGTACCTTCTTTGCGTTTTGTCAAATCTGCAGTGAAAGTGTTTTTAAAAGGACCAACATGTGTTGGGTCATCATCCAAGACTGCTATAACATGAAATATATGGAAGAATGCAGGTAAAACAGAGCAGGGGACATACAATTCTCCCCCAAGGAGTTCAGTCACAAATTTAATTAATCGTTTTTTTTTTTTGTTTTTGTTTTTTGTTTTTTAAAGAGCATCATCAGCATGGAAGCATGTCCTCTGGAATGGTGGCTGAAGCGTGAAGGAGCATATGAACGTTTAGCATATCTGGCATGTAAATACCTTACAATGCTGGCTACAAAAGTGCCATGCAAATGCCTGTTCTCACTTTCTGGTGCACTGTAAATAAGAAGAAGGCAGCATTCTCTCCTGTAAATGTAAACAAACTTGTTTGTCTTAGCCATTGGCTGAACAAGTAGGACTGAGGGGACTTGTCGGCGCTGAAGTTTTACATTGTTTTGTTTTTGAGTGCACTTAGGTAACAAAAAAAATGTACATTTGTAAGTTGCACTTTCACAACAAAGAGATTGCACTACAGTATTCGTATGAGGTAAATTGAAAAATACTATTTCTTTTATCATTTTTACAGTGCAAATATGTATAATAGAAAATAATATACACTTTGATTACACTTTGATTTCAATTACAACATAGAATACAATATATATGAAAATGTAGAAAAACATCCAAAATATTTAATACATTTCAATTGGTATTCTATTGTTTAACAGTACAATTAAAACTGCGATCAATCATGATTAAGTTTTTTGATTTAATCGTGTGAGTTAACCGCGACAAAGGGAACTAGGAATTCAAGACATTTACTAATGCACCTGTAAACACACCTGAACAACTGGTGTTGCACTGGCAGAATAGGTACTGCCAGAGGATATGCACATAACTTCTGGAAGATACAGCCAAGCACAGGATAAAGAATTAGATGTAGCCCCACTCCCAATCTGGGTAACACTGTAGAAAAAACAGCTTTGTTACCCCGGGACACTGGTCTACTTCACTATTCACCTCCCCATGAAAAATATCCATAGAACTTTAGGTGTGAATTGGAAGAAACCATATAGCATATAATATAACTTTCCCTGAAATATTAATGGACTTGTCCTTAATCACTCAGTAGGTCAGTGTCAGGAACCTAATCCAGATAGTCCAGACATCCTGTCCCTTACTCTAATAACTCAATGATAGTGCCTCTATCATCATAACTAGTAGGCCCTTTCCTGGAGCATTGTATCTTTTGTAGTTGATTTTAAGTTATAGTCCAACTATCTTCTTCCTTCCATGACCCATGAAACCTAGAAAACATATTGCTTTACAGCAGGTAAAACTGTTAAATGAATTAAGTAAGAAGGAAGATACTGCGTGAATGCCTTTTGTGGTTAGTAGCATTAGTTAGTATACTAAGAAAGGGTTTTGATTACCATGGCTTTATTGGAGTGACCCCCTCCTTGAAACTCAATGGTTCCAAAGGCATCAGTTGGGCTGAGCTGAGTGTGCTTGCTGATGGACCACTTCTCTGACTGATTGTCATTTCGAGTGAGTCTGCTTTCATTTTTCTCATTCTGAATAATGGAGATACTTGGAGTCAGTCCAACATGTTGACCTATTAGACGCCCACAGCAACACCTATGGCAGTAAGGAAAAATTAGTTGCATTTATTGGCCTAAAAATGCATCAGGCTATGTTTAAAGAAACTTCTTGCATGCACTGCAAAGTCTTAGAAAGTCACTTTCAGGCTGAAGTGATTTTACAGAGTTGTCAGAAGTCCTGTCTTGTAGCAAATACATTGACATGCCTAGGAAACAGACCGTTACAATATAGATATGACTTTTTTTGACTTGTGATTCTCCTTTGTGATGTCATTTTTGTGTAAAACTAAATAAAGAGTGCTTTGTTCTAAATATAAAAAAAAGCAAAGATTCCCACTCCCCCCCAATACATTCTATACGTTCCCACAGACTATATTAAGCTAAATAAAACTTTTTCACATGGACATCAACATATTTTAGTCACACATGAAGCTCATGTCTATCAGTCCCTTACAATACTAGCTGCTGTGTCTCTAATATAGAGTACAAATATTCAGGGGACTGGAATACATCACCAAGAAGATGACTAAGTTACAAATGAAACACTGATATAAATTCAGGTTTTGTTTTTCAATTGACACTTTCTGGGGTGTACAAAGTATTGGTGCCATGCCTCATGGAAATCCATCTCGAATGGTTCCAAAATACAAGCCAGTCTTTGTATAGAATACTCAGAGATTTGGAAAAAATTATCATCTACGCAGTTGTTTTCTTGTAACTATATAGTTTCATTTTCATAGTATGTAGCAATACAATACCATACAATCTGTAGCATATAGCAATACAATTACCTATGGGGGTCTTTGGTGCTGGGTATGATATGAACACATTCTCTCTTGTAAAATGCTCTCTCTATCCATGATTTCTGAGCCTGAAAGAGAGAGTGTAAAAAAATCCCATAAACTTTATTTGTTCATTAAATACAATTTCAAGATTTCAAGCATAAATGAAAAGATAACTCAAACATGGAGAGAATCTTTAATTATTGACCTTGCAAACATGCTGTATCAGTAAACATTTTCCATCAGAATTTGGGTGCATTTCAAGAGCATAGCAATAAAAAGTTCAATATACGTAAATTTATAATATGTTCATGTTTATTGGCCAGATAAATTTAATACTTGTGCCTACATTCACATGACAGAAACCATGAAAGCAAAACAAATTAAAACAAATAATTGATCAAAGTTTTCTAAGTGGTAAGAAAACAACATGTCCTCAATTTAGAAACAATTTTTTAAAGTACTCTGTTACGTTAACTAATGTGGCTATGTTGGATGTATAGTAAAATTTTTAGACATTAACCCCTCCCCCCCACTAAAATATAAATTAATGGCAATCCACTATTAATCCGCTGCAACATTTTGTAGAAACTGCAGTTAAACAGCATATCGCAATGTCACTTAAAGTGTCTTGGAGGAAAGAGCACATACAAAGCAGGAAATGATACATGTGAAACAAGGGAAGCTTTGAAACATAAAAAGAACATGAGTACTTGTGGCACCTTAGAGACTAACAAATTTATTAGAGCATATATATATATACAGATAAGTTGGAAGTTACCATACAAACTGTAGGAGGCTAATTAGTTAAGATGAGCTATTATCAGCAGGAGAAAAAAACTCTCAGTTTGTATGGTAACTTCCAACTTATCTCTCTGTGTGTGTATATATATAAATAAATAAATAATGTGTGTGTGTGTGTGTGTGTGTGTGTGTGTATCTTACTATATGTTCCATTCTATGCATCCGATGAAGTGAGCTGTAGCAATAAATTTGTTAGTCTCTAAGGTGCCACAAGTACTCCTGTTCTTTTTGCGGATACAGACTAACATGCCTGCTACTCTGAAACTTGAAATATAAAGGGACAGATCTTTATATGGTATAAATTAATGTAGCTCCATCAAATTAAATTAAGCTATGCTGCTTTATACTATCTGAGCCTATAGCCACAAATGTACTCAGTAATGCAAAAGATTTTCTCTCAGTATGATCTTATTTCCAGACAAGAATGAAGAGGTGTGGTGGTTTGTTTTTTGAACAAAAGAGAAACCTATCTTCAGAGTTTCTGAACTCCTTTTAATTATCTGGGTAGTTCTTGATGAATCAAGTGAGTGAGTGTCCTGGTAAATTACCCAGTGGATTCCTGCAGATAGAACGTAATTATTTCCATTTAATATTCAGGTGATTGAAGGAAAATCTCAAAATATTCAGCACAAACAGGTACATCTTATAAAGTATATGCAAAGAATAAAATAGTATTTTTACAGTTACACAACAGAAACAGGGATATTGTTAATACTAATCACAAACAGGTGAAAGAGAGCAATGAATTATGAAACATACTATACCAAGTGGGTGAAGTTTAAGGAACATGAAGTGAGTTTCAGACAAATTTAAGCAATGTGATAATGCCTATATAAAAGAGTGGAAAAAAAAAGAAAATCTGCCTTTAGGAAATTAAGTGTGACATAGATAGGATGAGAGACATCATCATTGCTTGATATTCCACTTACTGTCAACCTTATTGCAACACAAAATTTCTGCAACTTATTTTTGATCCCTGAGGCCCACGTTTCTTGGATGTGTGCAAATCAGAGAAAATCCTTCAGACTACATGAATTTTCACATGTGCAGACTTTAAAAACAATGTTACATCTCTGCAATAGTGTAAAATCACCTCAGCTAAGCTTTTAAATAAAAACTGTTCTCTGCATTTTTCCACTCGGAACTGATTCCTTGTTCTTAATCATTGACTATTTAGCTGAGGGAGTTACACATTTTACTCTTGTTATTTTTAGTCTGAAACCAATCTACGAGATTACACTTTTACAAAAGTCAGGATTTTACATTACAGAAGGAGGCATCATAAAGAGTAGAAGGCATTCCAAGTGACTACCACTAGCCAGGATTCAGAGAGGCTTTAAGGAACTCTAGATGGAGCCATGGTAGACACTCTTTTCCCCCTGGGTGGAACGAGGGCTGCTAGGATATGGAGCCCTGGGGCAAGGTGTGCATATTTAATATACAGAGAAAAAGTATAATAGAGATCCTGGAAGTCTAAGAAAAGTGTACAATTTTTAATAGACTTTATTCTCTCTCTCTCTCTGTTATGAATTCTGGTAGCTACTTGAAAGGCTCTGAAACACAATCAAAATAAGTACGTAAAATGCATAGGAACCATATTTTTGCATGCCGTATTATCCTGTTAGTCAATATTAAATTGGTCAATTTTCAGTTTAGTAATTTAATGGACTTTTCACACGTAATGAGCCATTTCCTTATTAGCCAACTAGGGTTTTAATGCATTTTAAAGTGAACTTTTTTTTTAAAAAAAAACTTCAATTGAATATTTACCTACAGTGAATACTTGTAGCCATTGAAATCCAAAGAATATACAACTTGGGACAATGAGAAAGGAACTTCAAAATTTTGGGGCAGGACATTGTTTTGTTTTACTAAAACATTACAATTACAAAGCCACACTTATTATTCAGATATCACTTTGTACTATTGCCTTAGAAAAGTATTTATCAATATAAGTAGAAACGGATTTATGAATCACTTTTTTGTTATACATGTTAACATTTCTCAAAGTAAGGGAAATTCAGTTATGCTAAGTTTACTTATTTATTTTAACATTAAAGTAAGTGCCTGGCACATCTATCGTCTTTCTGGAAAGCATAAAATAGCTGTTACATGCCACATTTCTGGATGACTTCCTAAGTAATTTCCTAGTACAAAACACCTCCACAAAGTTCTACCTCAGTAACATGGCAGGGCTCCCTAGAACTTTGCCTTTTTCATATACTTCTGAAATTTTATGGAAATCCACAAAAACAATTTACAGTAGACTTCGGAGAATTCACTCATTAAAAATATGCCCAAAGTACCTTCTTTAAAGATAGTTCAGGAACTGAATTGATCTAAACAAAAAATCAAATAGAAAATGAACAAAAGAGACTTCATAGAACAATACTTCGTTATTTTTTTAATAAGTGGGGAGGCACATATTTAAAAAAGGTTTAAATAGTAGGCAAAATTTTATGTATTAGAAATTACAGTATTTATTTGCCAATTCGTAACTCCAATTGAGATTTTGAAGACAAAAGAAAAATGAGATATGTTAAATATAATAATATGCCCTTGAGTTTCTCTGTTTTACATTAAAAAACAAAGAATGTTTGGAAAATTGTTAAAAAAGCAAATTAAAATAAAAGCTTGTTTTCACTCCATCAGAAGAAAGATTTCTACCTTTTAGGTCTTAAAAGATCTATTACCCTGCCTGCCAAATATTATGGTTTATCTTTTCATAATTCACTGTCACCTTCCATCCCAAAAAGACAGCATCCAGTTGTATTGCACTGAACCAACAACTTCCTGAGATAGATAATTTGCAATAAAAATAGTATATCTATATTCATTCATTCTCAGAAATGAAAAAGGATAATAAAATTACTTGCAACATGGTCTTCACCATAGAGTCAAAGGCAGAGATAAGTGACTAGATGAACTTTAATATTGTTATGCAAGTCAGATATGAACAGTTTATAAACTTTACATGAATTATGATGTGCTATATGAATTAATAAAATAACAAACGATACAGCTTGTCTTTGCTTTTCATTATACCACAAACACGGTCTCTTGATGCTAATTAGCAAACCAAAAATTAATTCAATGGGTTCAATTAATAAATTACCTTTCATCTTTTATCCTCAGACTTAGTTTGTTTTTAGTTTAGTTCCTTGGAGTCAATATTACTCTCCTATAAAAAATAAAAAAAACCCCAAAACTAACAACAACAAAACAGATCAAGGCTAGTGTGTATATATATTAGTATATATAGTATATATATTTTTTTACCTGAACATCAAACTTGGGTGGTGTCTAAGGCAGTACCAGAGCATATTATGTTGTCCACGTTTCACTGCTGCTGGTCATTCTGCTAATAATGCACTCATGACTGCCCACTAAGCAAGGCATTCACTCCATTCTGACCCAAGAGATGTTAAAGTAAGCAATGAACTTGCGCCCATTAGCTACTTGGAATGTGCTGCTGTGGGATTAGCCTCATTAAGAGTTCTATAGACATTCATCCGCAGCCCAGAAACACTGCTTGATTTGAACATCTAATCTGACGCCAAAAGAAAAACAAATCCTCTGAGAGCTTGGATTTAACTGGCACAAGCCCTGACAGGCTCTTTTTAAAATTGTATTTTATTTTCAGAAAGGCGGCTTGTGAAAGTGTGATTCTGAAAGTTGAACTCAGGAAAACAAATCCTTCAAAAGAAACAGTGTACTAAACTGGAAACTGACCACACAAGAGATATTGTTAATCTCTAAAGAATGAAACTAGAATATATATTAGCCAACAGCTAAGAATCTACATAAAATGTAAATATATTAAAATTAATCAACAATGGCATTTATCCAAGGAACCTAGGCTTTGCAACAGTTTCTTGCTCAACTGTCACAAATTTATCATTCCATAAACCTGAATGTTTGAATTTCAAACACAGGGACAGCTGAATATGCTTGTGTTAGTTAAAAGTCAGTGACTTATATTTGACTTGGGTGACTACAAATTTGAGGATCAAAACATGATTCCAATGATCTGGCATTAAGGCAGAAGGAGAACTTTATAAACCATCATTTTACATTTGAATATTTCAGAAAGAAAGCAATTATACATTTAGAATGGGTGACTAGTTTTGAGAAATAAATAAGAATGAGCCCAAACCTCAACCCAAATTTAAACTTTTTATTTAGATTTTTTAAAGTTTGGATGAGTTTCTCTCCCTCCACACACAGACACACACACTATTCTTGTCCCAGATAGACCTTCCAAACTTACTAAACTCTACTAGGG